TGTTTGCTAACGCATGTATATCAAACGATCAACTTACATGTTATTGTTATTGAGCTTGTTTTGATTGACATTGATGATCTAAGAGTAGTGCTTGAAGTAATTGGATTGTTGGTTGTTATCGTAGTTGTGGAACTTGGATTAGTCGTTTTAGGGTCTAAATAGTTTGTGAATCTAGCTTGAAAGCTAACAATTATCATAAACTGTACAAAATTACCAGTATTATCATCATATGAATTGAAATTCCAATATGAATAGGAGACATCCAAACAGTTATCTTATAAGTATCCGTGAGAATCGATAGTGCTGATACTAGTTAGCAACAGAGTATATGTTACTTTCAGAGGGCTTCACTCGAAGGCTATTAACGGATATTGCGAAATTGCTCCTGATTTTCTTTGAGCATGTCTGCATAGATTGCTTCCAGCAGAGTCTCTATTAATTTCTTTACAAAACAGTATGATGCATGCTTTTGATGAACTTCAGGCAGCGCATTTCAAAAAGTCGAAATCAACTATCTGAAAATATGGTAATAATCAAATATGACAATGATTACGATGCAACAAAGATTTGTCGTGAGCCGGAAGTTGTAGTATCATTTCAAACAATTCAAAGAGGGATACAAATGATGGAGAAGACCGGTACTATCGATCTAGCTGAATCTTTCAGTTGACCACCTACCATTGATAGAAAGGCGAAGATCGTGAACGTAAAGGAACGACTAAACTGAAAACAACTAGTGTCAATCAGAAAACTGGACAAAGACTTGAACGCATTGTATACTGGTATCTACCATATATTATGAGAAAGTGTGGATGCTATACAAAAAAAGCATCTACGAATGTGTGTGAGTAAAAGAGGTAGGATGGTCATCGGTACCGACGCAAACCAGAATGCCAGTGTGGATGCCTGGATCCGAATCTAGTTATAAATGAGTGTCTTCTCGCAGCCAGTACCCACATCCACACTCTATCCTCAAAGCAAGTGATATATTCTCAGTTATAGCTAGTTAACGCACTCATTATGTGGAACTAAAAACTGATTGTGAATGCTCTGCAGACTACCTATAAACAAAATAGTTTCATCCAGTCAGTGGTAATCGATGTTCTCACATAATGCACAATCATTGATAAAATAAAAAAACTTAGAATAATTTTACATACGAAGAAACATTGCTTTTCTAAAATTTGTCATCTAGATCTTTATTCTTTTTTCAACAAATTACAGAGCAGATTCGAGATTTATACACTCGTAGCTGGCTTACCAGTTGGTGGTGTGATTGATTTAAGACCGACTGAAGCTGAACCACGAACTAATATACAAAAGTCCCCAGTGAGAGATGCTTCAGACGTCGTGACAACCAAAATGTATGTGTGTGTAGATGAGAGGAGAAAGTTGAAACAAAATCCTTTTCCGGTACCATCACTATCACCATAAATGAGGAGATTCGTCGATAGATTGGATGAATCGAAACATGTGTCGTACAAAAAGCCCATAGTGTGGATATCAGCTACACTTTCAAAAGAGTAAGTTCCACTTGTGGACAGAGTAACTTGAACAGCCTGATAGTAATAGTAATCTTTGTTACCACCAAAGGGTCGATGGAATTGTGGGCTACTTGGCAACAGTACACTCGAATAGACTGACAACACTGAAGGTTAATCAGTCACTAAAATAATCGAAGCCAGTTGCCGTTATAATGTATTCAAGGAAAACTTGAGCAGGACTATCTACTAAGTGAATAGTTCAAAGAAACTAGTAAAACAAATAACGTTGCGAAGTTATCAAGATACTACTTTCAATTCGTCGAGTGAGTGAATTCGATTATAAATTCAATAACTGTAGAAAGAAAGCAGCTAGAAGGCTGCAGCTTTCAGCTCTGGGAATAGAATAAGTGATTTTATTAAATGACGTAAATTTTACTTTATCCATGGATAGGAAAGTGATCAATAAGTGATTAAACCTTTCTTGACAGCAGAAAACTTTAAAAATTTTCCCACTTTCATTTTGCATGCTAGAGACAAAATACAGGCACCCATTCACATAGTATTAGTAACTATCAGCTAATACTAAATGCATCCATACATAGGCACTCGAGTATTTTCAGTATCTTGCGAATGTTTATTTTATTGTAACATTCTCTCAAGTATATACGGTAAGTATTCAAAAAGATTAGTCTTGCACGTGGAATCCGTAGTAATGAAGAGATTAGTGTGAGCTGTATCTATCATTAACTCAGAGAGCAAATATTGCCACGGTACTCAACATTCACGAGTGCCTATATTGGGATACATTTGATACTGGCACGAAGGCGCTGAGGCTATATAGATTGATATCTGTATTTTGCCTCTAGTATGCAGAATGAAAGTGCAATAACTTGAAAACTTGTTAGGAATAATAGAAGACTATCAGAGAGCAAAATGGTATTTGGACAATAGGAAGTGTGTGAGTGTGAGTGTTGGTGTAAGCTTGGTTGCAGTTGGAAAGACGACTCACACCCACATTCACGTTTTCTTGTGAGCTAGCCTGAAAGCTCTGGAACAGTCACGAGGGCTACGGCTGGATAGTTCTTCAAGAGTTAGCGGTACTCGACATCTTCCGTGGATAGCTCTTGAATAGGGATGCACCAGTCCAGTTAACTGGGTACCCAGTGGCACTGGGTACCAATTCCGACTGGGTATATATATAACTGATTTATAATTGATTGAATCATCGTTATTTTTCTTTGTGTTAGGTATGCACTAGCCCAGTTAACTGGGACCCAGTGGCACTGGGTACCCAGTAGCACTGGATACCCAGTTAACTGGGTATATATTTAACTGATCTATGATTTATTGAATCATCGATAGTTGTTCTTGTGTTAGTACATTACAATTATCTAATTCTGGTATTCTTAACATATTGATAAGAATTCAAATTTTGACCAAATTTTGTATTCTTCTGTTATTAACGACCTGATTACCATATCACCACTAATTATCAAAATATAAAAGTTTCTTATTTATTAATCATCTACTTCTGAAAGTATCATTCACGAATAGTTTTCTTATATGATCGTCTTTTGTGATACTTTCTATCGCTGAGAATAGCTATTTGACATATTATATTTATTTTACTGTTTATCTAGTAATAAATTGGAAAGAAAGAATATTACTTATCATAACAACACTTAAAGAATTTAGATCGATTTTATACAAGTGCTGAAAAATTATAATTAATTCAGAGAGCCTTTGTTTCTTGAATACTGATGAATACCAGTCATATAGTCTGCATCTAATCTATTTTCAAATAGTACCAGTACTACAAAACGATCCCTAGAAACAGACATTATTTCTACAGAACTCATATTCTGATGACAACATTCATATGATATGAGATATAAAATGCAACATTGATATTGATGTGTATGTTTATCATATGCAGCTGTTGAATAAAGTATTCAGATATAAACTTATATAAGACAGAATTTTCTATATTCATGAGGATCCTTCAGAGAGTTTTGACAATTGACAATAATTATATCACAAGTTGAGAGACTATTTCTTTGACCCCATATTCGTTCTGTTACTCAGGCAACATTTTCTGAGTCTCAGTATAGTGAACTCACTCATTTTGTTTCCCTGCTTAGAAAAGATTCTTTAATAGTTAAAAAGAAATTTTTGAAAAGTGAAGTACTGTGTTCAATTGCGAGACTCAGATGAAATTTCTTGCAAATGCTTACGTAATAAAACATGAAGATAAAACCAGTGATATGAATTGCAACACTTGGCTAACAAATAATTTAAACTTATATATCGAATAATACGTGAATTAAATAGTATATATTTTATCAAATAGAATATGCAAAAATAAGAAAGTACACTTTGTTGTAAAAGAAAGAAATAACATCACAAAGAAATATATTCATAGTTATACACGCTGATTATATATATATCTATAACATATTTTCATTTTATAATGGTTCTGTTTGCTACGATCATCAGATCAAAAAATAGGTTGTTACTAACTAAAGTCATATAAGTAATGAATTAGTTGTTTATATATCAAGATTTGAGCATAAAACTATCTTTCATAAAAAAAAGGAATATATAGAAAATAAACTATAAAACAACCTAAAATACCATAAAAATTAAAAAAATGTGTAACTTTGACACATATATCAGGTCGAATTTGTATTATTAATCATCGAGTTTATCCTAAAAAAAAAGAAGTCATTAGGAAATGGCGTTCATGTAATAAAGTATTAGGTGTTTAACGATTTAGTTTATATTCGAGAACATAGATTCCAGTAAAGATTCGATGTCTTGTATCTGACGATATATGATAAAGAAATGTCTTCAAGTAAAAGCGATATATTAGTTGAAATACACATAATTATTATGCTTTGTTTCGTACCCTAGCATTTTTGGCAGCTTATGTATGATATTAATAGGAGCTTAAATAATTCACGTTAGATATCTGTAACAAAGGTTCTTCTATAATATGAAATAGGTTTGTATGATCCAAAAATCTAAGATATTCTATTTGCGTTAACGAATAGAAAGAGTTCATGACATTTTTTGTGTACTATTAACTCCTGTCGTTACATAGGTTTATTAGAACTTTGTCTTGCCGTGAGATGCCCTTGCAGAAAACGATTTTGTTAGATTCTTTGAATACGAAGTTTTTTCACGAATATTGATGGTATATTAAAATCTTCGTGTTATAACGATACATCATAAAGAGGACAGGATTTGCTGAGCAGCTTAGTTTTCAGATCAGATCAAATCTTATAGACATAGTGGCCATATAATGAATTGTCCTTTACGCTATTTAATTATGAGATACACAGGTAATCAATATTATTTCTCGTAAAAGTTTTCGTACTAAATCTGAGGTATTTCTCTATATAAGTCATTTTGTTTTTGATAACTTACTTTTAAGAACACTGTTGCAGTAAGACTGTCAACAGATAATCTTGATCGCTCTTTTCGAGCAACATATGATGACATAGAAAATGCAGATTATGATGGAACACTTGTTGCTGGTGTACACACTAACTGTCTAGCTATTTTGGAAAAAAGAGGAAGCGTCGCTTCATACAATTTCCAAAAATTCAAGCACGATGATGTTGATGCTTTATGAAGACTATTATGTTTTGCAATTAGCCATCGATAATTGTACAATTCTTCAATTATAGATGCACGTGGTGACGTAGTTGCCTTTTGTACACTATCATCACCAATACTGTTGAGGAACACTTCCATTGCTGTTGGTTTGGCCTTTTTAGTAGATTTTGATATTGATAATGTACTTATAAAAGAGATTGTTGTGGCAGCTGTATTAGATAAACTAAATGAAGATTGTGATGTTGCTGATGGTAATGATAAATTATCGAAACTTAAATCATCATTTTTTGACATTTCTTTTATCTCGTGTTCTATAGCTCGTTTATCAGCATCTGATAAAGCTAAAAAACCAGTTGGATCGAAATAGCTGTGCAGCTAAAATAAAAGAAAAAACAATTTTGAAATGTCGACAACTTTTCCAATCATGAGTTAGTTTTCTTTGTATCGACAAAATATTTTTCAATTGTATCATTTATTTATTTCTATTAAGGAATAATGAAAAATGGGGAACCTAATTTTTGCATTGCACATAGTTTCCCCTGTATCAATATAGTTCTAACACTCATTTGATCGCATAAAACCGAGAGACTTATAAAAGATATTAGGTAAGTTATCCGGCGTCGAGTTGTAAGAGCCTCGTTTTAGTCTTGTATTCTATTTAAATTGTCCTTTGAATGTAAGACTGTAACTTAATCTTTACAACTAGCATGGAATTAGAATTACGGATTTTTGCTACTACCGATTATTTAATCGAAAAAGAGAGTATTTGTCACACTTATGCTTGTGCCATAATGATGTGTAAAACAGTATAGTCTAGCATGAATGTGAACAACCGTTTGTCACCTTAATAATCAATAAAAATACTTTTTCATATCTCGAATGTGTTGCAAAGTGTGCAAAAAATCTATGAAATGTTTCATCCTGAGAAGAAAAATGCATTCATTTATAAAAAACGTCTGAATTTGTTTCAAAAAAAACTTTTTTAAATCTTCGTTTGAGTTTATTTTCTTTAGTTGCATTTATGAAGCTAATGAATTTAAGATGCTTATATTTCATTGATGACCGTAGTATTAGTTCAGATATATTTGTTATTTAAACTCGTAGGACTCATAATTACCCGAAACGTTAGAGATAATATTTTAACGTTTTTTTATTACTTGTGTTGATGAAGATTACAGTCTCTAATAAAGCTTTATAATAACAGCAACAATAAGGTTTATGTACTACTCACTTTTAAAAGGTTTAGCTGATGTCTATCTTCTTCAAAATACTTTGTCATTTTCGTTGCTAATAGTTTTTTTAAACGCTTTACAATGGAATTATCATTTTTGTTCTTCATTAAGAAGTTCTTCAATTTAAATAACATAAAAAACGCTGTGCCAATTGTATGATAGTTTTTTCCAGACATTGTTATCGTGGCATTATAAAAACCTTTAAGAACGTGATTCAATTGATCCAAATAGTACCATTCAGTACTTGTAATCTCGAGTTTGTTCAATTTTTGAATTTGAGAAGTTTTGATCTTCAAATCATATTTATCTTCAAATAATTTTTCGATAATTGGACGCAATTGTATTAATACATGAATCATTACAAAAGAAGAGTTCCACCTCGTACATACATCTTTTGTTAAATCACGTTTTTTTTTCATCAATTTACGTTGTTGTGTAATATACATAGTCAAAACTGAAGATTTTTTTATTAAATATATTAATTTTCGACATTTTATCATCAATAATAAAGTTGTATATTGTTCTTTTGTTAGTGCTGGATCATCAGGATCCACTTCAATATCCTGCTCCCAACTGTCGGTGAAAACATCATGTCCAATTAAATTTGATAGATCATCATCTTCACCAATAATATTTCCAATAATAATAATATCTTCCACTTCTTCATTCTCTTCTTCCTCTTCCTCTTTCTCCTTCTCTTTTTCCTCTTCCTCCTCGTCTTCTTCCTCTTCCTCGTCTCTCTGTTCCTCTTCTTCCTCTTCCTCGTCACTCTGTTCCTCTTCTTCCTCGCCCTGCTCGTCCTCCTCCTCCTCATCATCATCATTATCATCATCTGTTAATATCATATCATCGTTATCATTATTTTCTATTTCGTCTTTAACAGTATTTGTTGTTTCATGATTGTTCTCTTCTGATTGATGAAGTGAATCATTTTGATTTGTTGTTTGATTTTCTTGTATCATTTCACGATGTTTATTGATCATAAGATGATTGTCAAAATTAGAATTTAAAGAATTGAACCCTACAAAATCAAAAATTTCAAGAATATTTATTTAAGCATGTTGCTCAAGATTATCGTATTGTAAACGTTTCACCCAGATTAATGACATGTTTTCCAAACTTTAGGTGACACGTTTTACGAAGAGTGGGAGAAAAACATTACACCATCATAAAAACAGTTGATACTTCATTAAATAACAATTAGAGTTGACAGTTTTATCAGATATATTGTGACAGAATTTATAAGGATAAAGTAATGGCAAATGCCTTCAAAAAACGGGCGCTATTCTGTTAATAAACTTCAAGTTTTATATAAGTCACTTGCTTTGTTTCTTATGGCAATTACTGAAAAGAAAGCAAGTATTTTTCTGAAAATGTCTGCATACTAATTGTTATCAGTTCTATCATGACATACATAATATCGACTTGTCTGGTTGACAAGCTCAGCGATTCGTCCGATTTGATGAGGAGACTTCGAATATTCAGATGTTTCTAGTCAGAGAAAATCTCCTGATTTCAGGGATCGGTTTGAAAATTTTTTCTGATTCTTAGGTTTTTACTTTGGTTTCAGCGACACATTATTCGCTAAGATCAGTGGAAATAAAATTGAATTATTTTACTGAGTTTTTAGCGTAGAGAGATCGAGACAGTAAAGAAAGATCATGTTACTTCGACAATTGTTATCTTCCTAGTCATTTGTCAAAATGATGAAGAGAGAAGTACTTGTTCTGATTTCTTTATGGTTGGTTGCTAAACAATGATTTTCGTTACCAACTTTCTCTCGTTGACTTTGAGTCAGACGTTTTTCGCATTATTCTCACTGACTTGTTTACGAAACGAGCAATTAAAGTCGAAGCTAAAGGTCTGCGATAATGTCAATAAAAACATCACACCCGAAAGTAAAATATTGAGTTGCACTGTTCGTGAGGTATAGCTTTTATGAAGTTAATGGTAGTCACTTAGATTTTTCGTGGGAAAAAACTAGAATACAGTGAAATACTATTTAGGACAAAGTTAAAGATGAAAATGATTATTGGACTGTAAGTGAATAGAAAATTGATTCTCACTCACAACATCTAACTGATATTTATATTTTTTCGGATTTCTATTAATTTACTAATTAATCCTTCTTTTCGATTTTATTTATATAATTCATTGAACGATTGTAAGATGAATTACGATGTAAAATATGATAACTTATTTCCATTTTCGCTCAGCGTATTTCTCGAAGAGATTTCTCCACTATCAAACTAGCATGCGAATAGAGAGGTACTAATGTGAAGTGCAAGTTCCATCTTTGTTCTGAAAAGAAGTTTCAACGCGTCTTTCGCATCTCAAACAAAAAAATGACTGATTTTTCTTCATATTTATGCGAAAGAATGTCCTAATAATTTTCTACTTCTAACGAAAGGATTACTTGTTTCTGAAATTTGGATTTGGTCAATCTGCCGATTAATATCGATTGTCTTATTTTTTTTATATTTGGTACTCATGGATCAAAATATTTCTATTACGCGCTTCATTCTTTGACAGGTGAACTAGCTGAATTGTTTCTTTAGATAGTCTTCCTATTTCTCAGGACGAAATACATTACAATTATAAAGGCTATGGGCACATCTTTAAAGGAACTATAAGGTTTTTATTCTACTTAAGTGAAGAAAACTGAGCTATCTAATCTCTGATAATAGATGTTCATATTAAGAATAATTTATATTGTCTACTAAATATAAAAAACAAATAGAGAACCTAAGTGACTATCTGTTACAATATTTTTTGCTAAAATTTTCATCAAGCTGACGATATAAATTCACAATGTGTTTTGTCTTACCTTGATCTGTTGCATCAGTTTGTTTTTTCGATTTCTTTGGCCAAAGGCAAAGACCTTTAGTAACAACCAGGTGCAGTCTATGAGCGATGCACCATATACGTTCACAATTAATATTCATCGAATCAATTGCATTTGATATATTTTTTGCTCCAGCGCAAACAATACGATTAACTTTATGTAGAATATGTAATTTACGTAATTTGAATGTAATAATACGTGCTATTTGTGCTGACGTATGACGTTGATTGAAAGAAGAAAAAGTAAGAATTTTTGATTTTTGATTAAGATCATCAGTACAGTAATGTGCTGTTAATACAAGAAAAGAAGTATTAGTTCTGTTGGACCAAAAATCTGTTGTGATAGATATGGTTTCAACGGTTCTCAATTGTTCAATTAATTTTGAATAGTGATGATGTTTTAATCGTTTAATACGACGAGCTACTGTATTACGGTGAATAGGTTGATAGCCTAAAATGTGAAACAACCATCATTAAAAAAATCATTCTTGCAATGAATCATTATTCATTTAAATAGGGATATTATTTATCCAATACATATTTTCTAGATTTTTTCAAAGAGTGTCGTTTATGCGTGCTCACACATGTCCTAGTATTACACATTGCAGACCTTCTATCGCCATGATAATCTGAATATTCTGAACAAGATGTATATCAGAAGCTCAAATTGGCTATTAGGATCATCTGCATCCGACAGACGGAGACTGTGATCTCAAGAGTGCTTCAGGTCAGACGCATTATATCAATATGTCAGATGAGCCTAGAGATGTCCATCACGACAGCGATAGCTTTTCTTTTGAAGCCACTACAAAATTACATGGATTTGCGGAAGCTTTGTGTATCCATAGTGTAACACCCAAAGACTAAGTGCATGTCAGAAATTCATAATGGCAGTCCTAGTTCAGTGCAATACTTGCACAGATTGCTAAAAGACTTTTCGAAAATCATCGTAACAACGCTGTGGTAGGTCCAGGAGCTATCTGCGGGGCAGCAGCAGCAGATTCTTTACCGTGATGGATTAGTCTGGATTGGTCGGCTTAAATAGACAAGTTGTCTACCTATAATTTTGTCTATGAGTTTTCAACAAGAATCTTTTTTAAGTAGAAAATGCATTTATTAAAAAAATTCATTGAAATAGCATGCTTGTTGGAATGCAACAAACGATTTTTTATCATATATTATAGATAAATTTTACAATTTATAATATAATGTGAGAGAATTATTCTTTGTCATTTATTGATCTAGTTTATTTAGTTTCTTAAGTTATTTCTTCTTGTCACTCTTTTTTTTCTTATTATTCTTTTATAGAATGTGTTAATTAATTCTCATTGTTCGCCGATTTTATACTTGTATTATCAAAAATTGATTTACCATGAAGCTCTCTATAATTAGATTATTAAATTCATTCGGAGTATTCTTAACCAAAAATGGATATTTACAGAATCTGGCTGAGTTCTATTTGATTTATATATATATATATATACATACATAAATTATTAATTTGATAGATAACTTATCTTATTATCTTTTTAGATATTCATATTATTTTCTTTACTGCCAACAAAGACAATCTTATGCATACATTAGAGTATTACCATAATAGTGGTATTTGAAAAAATACACAAGCTACGAAAGACAGATCGAAAAGAATGACAGACAGTTAGATCAGACTAGAAAAAACATAATTTGTCATGGATAGACAACATGCATGAAAAGTCAGTCTAATTGGATCAACGATACCGACAATTATATGATGGTCCTCATACAAATTGATTTCAATTTTTAAATTAACTGTTTTTTTGTACAGCAAGCATGCAGTAAAAATTTGTATATTACCGGGTACTACTTCTTTTAGTAGTTTAGATAAACCGGGTTTATTGAATGCATTAAATGGCAGATTATCTTGTACAATTGCTTCAATACATAGTTTATGAAGTTGTTCTTTACGTTCTTGTTTTATATTCGATAGATTTTGTTTTTGCCGTCCATTTTCTAAAATTAATTCTGTCTTTTTGTGTACTTTAATTAAATGATGACGAACAGATGAAGTAGACCAATTATTTCTACGTCGCTAAATTACTTTATCGGTAAGCTTTAGGCAAAGTTGATGTGTATTCGTATTTTTGTTCTGCGTTTTTTTCATTTCTGTTTTTTATTGTTCTCTCATCTTTAGTCATTAATTACGATACAAATAAGATATGAATCATTATTGCAGTCCGCGCTCCTTTGTTACCACTTAAGTGTACTTCCGTTTTGGACAATATTTAATTTTTGTAAATTTGTCAAATATTTCAGCATAAGCCGTCTGTGGCATCAAAAATAAATTATAATTCGAGAGAAGAATTATTTTTTACATATACATTTTAA